TCATTGGATAATAATATGAAGCATAAAGCACCATGTTCAAGTAGAGAGTACAGCGGGTTGCGGGAGAGTGGACCGCTGAATATAGATGGGGGAAGGTTATGGAGATGTTGGTGAAGATGGCGGAGGTGTTGGTGTAGATCGCGGTGATGATGATGGCCCCCGGCAATGCTCCGGCGCCACCGGAAGCAAGGGGGAGAGAGCCCCCCTTCTTCTTCTTCTTCCTTGACCTTCTCCCTAGATGGGAGAAGGGTTTCCCCTCTGGTCCTTGGCTCCCATGGCTTGGGAGGGGCGAGAGCCCCTCCGAGATTGGATCTATCTCTCTGTCTATCTCTGTTTCCGCGTTGTGGAATTCTACCCTGGCACCGTTTCTTTTATATCCGGAGATCCGTAACTCCAAGTGAATTGAAACCTTCGCCCAGATCTTTTTCCAAAAAATAGCTTTCTTGCGGCCAAAGAAGGGCATCAACCGCCTTACGAGGGGCCCAACGCGCCCACCTAGAGTGGGCGTGGGCCCCTGTCTCCTGGCCACCTTGGGCACCGTCTTGCGTTGATTTTACTTCCCAAAAATCACAAATATTCCAAAATAATTCTCCGTCCGTTTTTATCCCGTTTGGACTCCGTTTGATATGTGGTTTCTACGAAACATAAAACATGCAACAGACAGGAACTGGCACTGGGCACTGGATCAATATGTTAGTCCCAAAAAATAGTATAAAAAGTTGCCAAAAGTAGATGAAAGTTGTAGAATATTGGCATGGAACAATCAAAAATTATAGATACGACGGAGACGTATCAGCATCCCCAAGCTTAATTCCTGCTCGTCCTCGAGTAGGTAAATGATAAAAAAGATAATTTTTGATGTGCAATGCTACCTAGCATAATCTTGATCATATATCTAATCATGGCATGAATATTAAGACACGAGTGATTCAAAGCAATAGTCTACATTTGACATAAAAACAATAATACTTAGGGCATCCCAACAAACAATCATGTCTTTCAAAATATCAATGCTTCCAGAGCGTTATCCCTACAAAATCATATAGTCTTGTATGCTCCCTTTTCTTAACACAAGGTACCCCTTATGCCTATCCCGGTGTCAGCCAAGCAATTGTTTCATACTTTCGTATTCTCAAACCCTTTCAACTCTCACGCAATACATGAGCGTGAGCCATGGATATAGCACTATGGGTGGAATAGAATATGATGCTGGAGGTTATGTGGAGAAGACAAAAAGGAAGAAAGTCTCACATCGACGCGGCTAATCAACGGGCTATGGAGATGCCCATCAATTGATGTCAATGCGAGGAGTAGGGATTGCCATGCAACGGATGCATTAAGAGCTATAAGTGTATGAAAGCTCAAACTGAAAACTAAGTGGATGTGCATCCAACTTGCTTGCTCATGAAGACCTAGGGCATTTGAGGAAGCCCATCGTTGGAATATACAAGCCAAGTTCTATAATGAAAATTCCCAGTAATATATGAAAGTGACAATATAGGAGACTCTCTATATGAAGAACATGGTGCTACTCTGAAGCACAAGTGTGGAAAAAATATAGTAACATTGCCCCTTTTCTTTTCTTCTTTTTTTTCTTTTTTTTTCTTTTTTTTGGGTGGGCTTCTTTGGCCCCCTTTTTTATTTAGGATTCTTTGGCCTATTTTTTTCTCTCTTTTTTTTCTTTTTTTTTCATGGGGCAATGCTCTATAATGATGATCATCACACTTTTATTTACTTACAACTCAATATTACAACTCGATACTAGAACAAAGATATGACTCTATATGAATGCTTCCGGCGGTGTATCTGGATGTGCAATGATCTAGCGTAGCAATGACATTAAAAAACGGACAAGCCATGAAAACATTATGTAGCTATCTTACGATCATGCAAAGCAATATGACAATGAATGCTTAAGTCATGTATATGATGATGATGGAAGTTGGATGGCAATATATCTCGGAATGGCTATGGAAATACCATGATAGGTAAGTATGGTGGCTGTTTTGAGGAAGATATAAGGAGGTTTATGTGTGATAGAGCGCATCGTATCACGGGGTTTGGATGCATCGGCGAAGTTTGCACCAACTCTCGAGGTGAGAAAGGGCAATGCACGGTTTTGAAGCACATCGGTATCGTTTAGGAAGTCACTCTTTACTTGTGCGAGCTTCTCTTGAATTTCAATGAATCTGTTTAATATGACAGTGTACAAGAAAGCAGAAGTCGACTTTAACTTCAGCTGGAGGTTTAGATTAATCAATGGCAGGAGCATTATGCCGTCACTTAGGGATCAGGAAAGAGGTACATGTCTAGACTGTCCTTTTTATTTTCACTGTTTGATTATTAGTGCTGAAGTTGACATTCACAGGGCAATGTGCATATGCTTCAACGATGTCATGTACTGAATCCCTTTACAAGAGGAAGAATGCGGTTGTGAGGATTGGTAGTGAAACTTATCTGTCAAAGGAGTTCGTTGTGAATCTCTCGCTGGATCATCTTCAAGATTTAGTCACTTCATTTTGTGCAACAAATCGAATAAATGTTTCAACACGCTTGATTACTGTCTCGAAAGGATGGTAGCTCAGGGTGTCATAACTGAAGAAGCCTATAACAGTGCAAAAGTGAACTTTCATGTATGTTTTCTGATATTTTGTGCACTCAACAGACTCTGAACTAGTTTTCTTTTTGCCTAGTAGTTATTGATTGTACCTCCATCCCAAAATAAGTGTCGCTGATTAGTACAAAACTTTGTACTAAATCTGTAACACTTATTTTGAGACGGAGGGTGTACATGTCATTTGTATACCCAACATCCTCTGAACTAGTTTTCTTTTTGTCTTGAGTTATTGATACATGTCATTTGTACAACCCAACATGCTTTGAACAGTTTTTTGTTTCGTCTGAAGTAGTTATTGATACATGTTATTTGTATACCCAACATGCTCTGAACTAGTTTTATTTTGGTCTGAAATACTCCCTCGTCCCATAATATAAGAGCGTTTTTTACACTAGACTAGTGTCAAAAACACACTTATATTTTGGGACGGAGGGAGTAGTTATTTATACTTACATTTCCACCCCCAACATGCTCTGAACTAGTTTTCATTTTGTCTGAAGTAGTTATTTATACATGTCATTTGTACACCCAACATTGTCTTGAACAGTGCATGACCTATAATGGTTGTTTTATTGCAGAGTTTCCAAAGATATCGCATAAAGGAATTTGAGAAACTCAACACAGCCAGAGTTGAAGAAGCTCGTGAGCTATTGGAGGATGGAATAGCCCTCATTAGGAATTTCAGAATCACAACCGATTATCATAGGCTTGGTCCCAATGATATCTACGACATTCCTAAGGGGGCAACATTCGAAACAAATCCTGCAGGGCAGGCCTGTTCCCATTGTGTGGTGATTGTTGGTTACGGCAGGACAAGTGATGGGCTGTCATACTATATCTTTCAAAATTCATACGGTAAAAAGTGGGGAGACGATGGTTTTGGCCGAGTAGCTTGTAGTTGTCTCAAATATCTGTACCGTGCTAGTGTTTAGGTTATTGAGTACTGCAGGATGGTGCTCATGTTAAAAGTGACACTGATATAGAATACCCACGCTTTTTGTAAAGCAGCCATCTGACAGGAGTTCTTGACAGCCCTCATACATGTGGTTGTAGATGTTTCAGTTATCACAGATTTGGAGCCTCACTGTAATGCCAGATGTACTGATGGAGAGCAATAGGAGTATCTTATAGCAGAGTTGGAGCCTCACTGTAATGTCTGCTTAATTGCAGAGAGCTGCAGAACTTATGTCAGTCAGTTGAAGTTAGCAATGCCTTGCCTTTCATTTTTCTGTACATTCTAGCTGGTGATTCCCAGCATTTTTCATTATTGTGTTGAATTTTATGGAGCGTCCAACAGACTTAGCAGGCTTGGCTGGCAGTAGGATTTTTTAGTTAAAGAAGAAATTAGCTTGCATATGTAAGGATTTTTTTTCCGCGAGATTAATGTCTGCTGCTTATTCGTATAATCTAGTAGGAACAATCAGCACATATAGCAACTTTTGCGTTTTTATTCAGTTTGTTGGGCTTATAATAGCAACCAACTATCACGCTTTGCTTGATGACGTTGTGACATTTTATTTTATACTTGTATGCATTTTATTTTTTTGCAAAAAAGTTGTTTTTTAAGGCAGTAACACTTACAGTGCAAAGCCTATCATATATTCTCGGTAATCATTACACATCACAAGGTAACAGGATTACTTCTCTTTCAAAAGAATAGGCAAGAGAATGGCGAGATGGCGTGCAACAATGAGGTCCTCTTCATAGATTTCAGGAGAGGTGTACCTGAATCTCTAACCTGACTAGCAAAACGGCTCACTCTTACGCACAGATAAAGCTCCTTGGCGTTTTGTTTTGAGCTAATGCCATGTGAAGATTGCTCAGATAAAATTCCACTCTTCAATATGTATGGATTATTTTGACTGTAATCCTCTCGCACTTGTTGCTCAAATTTTGCTAAAAAAAAAAACTTGTTGCTCAAACTCCTCTGTATCCTCTTTTTAAATTAAATTAGTTTCCACGGAATACTTTTCGAATTGTTTTGAAACTTGAAAATATGACTTCTCATTTTTTTAAATACCGAGCTCCCTAGAGCTCAGCCTTCATTGGCATTTTCCGAATATTCTCTCCCTTTTCACACCAGTAAAGAGAATATCTCGCACCAAGTAAAATTTGAAATACTGCGACTCCCAGTGCAGGTTTAAAATACGCAAATCAGGAGTTTTTTAGGACACATCATCCTATACTCATTCAGTTACAATAATTTATTACGCCAATTCGAGCATAATTTTAGTTAATATTAAAGATACATATTACAATAACATGTCACATGCATCACCTCTTGCTACAACGGTACTTCTCGAAAAGGAACTTGCTTGTCATAGACCTTCAGCATATAGTAGACCAAGACCAAACAGATTAGTTGGTGGATAGATTCCTCTCATCACATAAAACAGTCATCATCACTGTCCAGCTCCTCCAAGTGAAAAATCATCTCATTATGTCCACCCAAGTAGCCACCGCCCGAGGGATGCCTAAGCTCCTTTGCTCGATCATCGCACCCGTAACAATGACCTTGTTGATGCGTGGAAAAATATATGTATACATTAGCACATGATATGACTAACGGAAAATCATGGAGATTCCACCAAGTATATAGTTACCATAATTGTTTTCTTCCAAAGGTGTGCAGAGAACAACATCCTCTTCCTGTGTGCAGTCAGGTCGCATCTCAGCAAAGAACATAGTATGTTTGCCATCTGAACCTTTCACCAGAAAGTTGGAGTGCACATATAGTGCTGCGCATCCATCGACTTGATTCCTCTCTTTCTCTTCCACAAATTCCAACTCAGAGAGCTGAAATAGAAGCGATCAACACATGTGAGTATAACAGACCGGTCAGCAGTAAATCACATGATTTGCATGGATGTTCTAGCCAACCATGAGTAGTAAAAATAATGAACTACAACAGAAGTTTAGTTCCATAATAACTCAAACAGACCTTAATACGGGCCGTTAAGCAAAAAACGCAAGCAAACATAAATATTTGATTATGATTTATTTTGGCATACCTGAATGTTGTTTCGCTTGGCATACGTGTTGAGCGCTATGACCAAGCCCTTGCGCTTACGCTCTTGTCTGCGTTTTCTCATCAGGGGACGGCGACTTGGGCCTGAGACTGAACTGACGTTTGGCGTCAGCTACCCACAGATCACCAAACTCCTTGAGAGTAATCGATGATGGTCTAGGAACGGGACCATCCCCTATCTGCAGTCTGGCAGAGCCGTCACTGCATGCATGGACATAGAGAAATTATGATGTAAACACAATGGAGCCAAGACACACACTCACAGACAGCCCGGAAATCTAAGGCTTATTTTGTTTAGTCTAAGATAAAAAAATCACTGTATGGATACTAATCTATTGGCATTCACTTTATGTCATACGTTTCATCAAGCTCTTGATTGCATCTTAAGTTCTTCAAATATTATTGATTCCTTCATACTAGATCAAATGTGAAGTACGATATCCCCAAAGTTGCATATATGAATCCACACAAAAAAAGAAAGTAGTGTCTGCATACGTACATCCAAAATTCTCCAGAAACACAACAGGTTGCGTTGGCGGACGACATGGCCACCGACCGATCGACCACTCCTGCTTCAGATCAGATATATAATTAACAGCAGGAATAAGCGAAACCCTTGGGGGGTGGCGGATCCCCACCGGGTAAATTACAAGGACGGCGGTACCTGTACTGTAACTGGAGCGAGATATGGAGAGGGCGGGTGGTGAGGAAGGAGGAGATCGCCGGCGGTGAGATCAAACCGCCTCCGCCGCCGAGACCTAGATGGATTTCTCTGTTGCCTTTTCTTTCCTCTTTTTTTCTTCTTCTGTTTTCTTATCTAAAGGAAGAGGTAGACTTGTAGTTTTTTTTTTTTTTTGAGAAACAGAGGAAGACTTGTAGTAGTACTATAAGAAGATCCACGCTGGGTAGCCCATCGGCCCAGTTCAGTTCGGTCTGCTTTTCCGAAAAGGCCTCGGCCTGGTGGACTGGACTGGAGAGAACGCGTTTAGCGCTGGCAAAAACGGTTGCGACGGCTGTGCGCGGAAATTTTGAACATTTCTTAAATATAGTATATGATGAATTTGTTTCCAAACACATGTTTTGAAAAACAATTCGATACGTGCTAAATATTTTTCAAATACATTGTGTTTTTCTAAAATGTCATGATATATTTGTGAAACACATCAACATTTTTTAAAATATCACGTACATTTTGTGAATGATATTCCTTTGAATTGTGAAAACATCTTTTTTACATTGTATAACATTTAAAAACTGCGTGATTTTTTTATGAAATGTGTGAACGTTGTTTTTGAATGCTATCCATAATTTTTAAAATATACAGGAGAATTTTTTTAACACGGCATGAACATTTCTTGAACGCACAATGATATTTTTTAATTTAAATGGTAGTACCATATTTCAAAAATGTATTGCTTTTTTTAAAAAACACCTGTAACTCTATTGATACCGATAACAATTACAGGTACACTGCTTTGGACCTAAGATCCAAAAAAAGATAAAATAACTCCTATGACTAAGAATCACAATAAAATCTTTTGTAAACACCTTCTTCACGGTATCAATCTCTACTCAAAGAAATACTCCAAAGACTTCGGTAATGAGGCTGCAATTAGACTGGAGGAACCATGCTGTCAGCATCAAGAAGGGCGTGTCTTCGCTGAAGCGTGGAGTCCAGACAACCCAGTTTGGGCCGGCCCACGGTCACTTCGCTCTTTTTTCCTTTTTCTGGTCCTTTCTTTTCTTATTTTTCTGTTTCTATTTCTTTTACTTTCTTTTCCATTTTATTTATTTTTGGTGCTTTTTAAAAAAACATTACATATTACAATTTTTTTCATCATATATTAAGAAAATGTTCACACTATACTAAAAAATGTCCATCATGCATTATAAAAATGTTCACTGTATATTAGAAATTGTTCAAAAATTATGCAAATGTTCACTGTGTGTTTTGAAATTTGTTCAACATATATTACACAAATGTTCCATGTATTAAAAAATTGTTCAACGTATATTACAATATGTTCAATGCATATTCGAAAATTGTTCAATGTATATAATCACGTTTTTTCAACAATGTTCATCGTATATAAAAAAGATTCATCGTGTATTATTACAATGTTCATTGTATATCAAGAAAATTTCCATCGGATATTAAGAAAATGTTCAATGTGTATTTTTAAAATAAAAAACGAACAAAAAACCGCCCAATTATAGTAAACTGGATGCTACAGTATGGGCCGTTACAGTAAACCCGACGCGACACTCAAACCAACTAAAAACGGAGAGTGGGCCGGCCAAGCGCGTGCGCCCGTGCGAAGTTCCCTCCTTTTGACGCACGCGGGCGTTACACAGGTGGTCTCGTCTAAGACGACGTGAAACAAAGCACTGCCCGGGGTGGGTACGTATGTGTGTACAGGTTCCGCCACAGAGAGGAGAAACATTGGTCCAAATTATCTCTATTCCTAATGGAGCACTTGGTGAATAGTCCGCGCGAATTATTTTCGTTGGTTTATTTTTGTCATCCTCTCATCATCGTTTTTTTTTGTCATTCTACCATCTCTGCTCTACCCTCCATCGAAATAAACCGGTGAAAAAAATACCCTGAGATCGATCCCTCTTTCACACAGCAGATCGATCTCCGTCGCCGCCCGATCCACCCCTACGCCCAGTCCGCGACGGATCCATCCCTGTGAGATCCAAGATCGCTGCCGGTCCAAGATCGCCGCCATCGACCTCTGAGATCGTCATCCCTTTCTGTTTCTGGTTCGTTGGCCTCTCTCCCTTTTCCCAATCTCTCTCCTTTGTGCGCGTGCATCGCTGCCGGCGTCCACTACTGGCCGCCTCCGCCGTCGATTGGTGCCCCTATATCTCTACTTTTAATGGAGCACTTGGTGAATAGTCCGCGCGGTTTTTTTTCGCTGGTTTATTTTCGTCATCCTTCCATCATCGCTTTTTTTCGTCATTCTACCACCTCTGCTCTATCCTCCATCGAAATAAACCGGTGAAAAAAACACCCTGAGATCGATCCCTCTTTCACACAGCAGATCGATCTCTGTCGCCGCCCGATCCACCCTTACGCCTAGTCCGCGACGGATCCATCCCTGTGAGATCCAAGATCGCTGCCGCCAAGGTCCAAGATCGCCGCCATCGACCTCTGAGATCGCCATCCCTTTCTATTTCTAGTTCGCTGGCCTCTCTCCCTTTTCCCAATCTCTCTCTTTTGTGCGCGTGCATCGCTGCCGGCGTGCACTACTGGCCGCCTCCGCCGTCGATTAGTGCCCCTATATCTGTACTCCTAATGGAGCACTTGGTGAATAGTCCGCGCAGTTTATTTTCGCTGGTTTATTTTCGTCATCCTCCCACCACCGCTTTTTTTCGTCATTCTACCACCTCTGCTCTACCCTCCATCGAAATAAACCGGTGAAAAAAACACCCTGAGATCGATCCCTCTTTCACACAGCAGATCGATCTCCGTCGCCGCCCGATCCACCCCTACACCCAGTCCGCAACGGATCCATCCCTGTGAGATCCAAGATCGCTGCCGCCAAGGTCTAAGATCGCCGCCATCGACCTCTGAGATCGCCATCCCTTTCTATTTCTGGTTCGCTGGCCTCTCTCCCTTTTCCCAATCTCTCTCTTTTGTGCGCGTGCATCGCTGCCGGCGTCCACTACTGGTTGCCTCCGCCGTCGATTGGTGCCCCTATATCTCTACTCCTAATGGAGCACTTGGTGAATAGTCCGTGCGGTTTATTTTCGCTGATTTATTTTCGTCATCCTTCCACCACCGCTTTTTTTCGTCATTCTACCACCTCTGCTCTACCCTCCGTCGAAATAAACCGGTGAAAAAAACACCCTAAGATCGATCCCTCTTTCACACAGCAGATCGATCTCCGTCGCCGCCCGATCCACCCCTACGCCCAGTCCGCGACGGATCCATCCATGTGAGATCCAAGATCGCTGCCGCCAAGGTCCAAGATCGCCGCCATCGACCTCTGAGATCGCCATCCCTTTCTATTTCTGGTTCGCTGGCCTCTCTCCCTTTTCCCAATCTCTCTCTTTTGTGCGCGTGCATCGCTGCCGGCGTCCACTACTGGCCGCCTCCGCCGTCGATTGGTGCCCCCATTGCGCTACCGATGGACTTCTTGCCGGCCGCAACCTCGACGATCCTTCTCTCCATGCGCCACTGTTTCCCTTGCGTTGCAGCCGCCCCACGATCTCCACCTCCGCAATGGCGTACGAGGCCTTCCCACATATGGCAGATCGATCTGAGACCCATGGCCGAGGTCGCCGATGCGCCCCACCGCGCCGTGCGTGGGGTCTCCACCTCCCCTCCCCATATTCGTCTCTCAGCCGGTGGCAGCGACGACTCAGAGTGGCGTTGCTCCTCACCTATGCTCCGGCCGCCGCCCTTTATCCCTACTCCACCGGAGACAAAAGGAGGTGGTTCAACTGGCAGAGCCTTGGGCGAGATTTCGTGCGAGCAGACGGAGCAGCCGTTGAGGTCCTGGTGAACCATGGCCGGAGCTGGAACAGAGAGGTAGGGAGGAGGAGATGAGGGGGACAAGGAAGGCGTCACGCTGGGAAGGAGATACGGAGGAGGTTAAGGGGATCGTGGAGTACGTGGAGTTGCCGGTGGAGGCCAAGGTGTACGTCAGCAACCTGCCCTATGACGTCAACCGCGAGCACAGGTCTCCCTCTTAGCTTGCTACTTCTTTGCTGCTGCCGACAGTTAGCTGCTCCTCTGTATGCACACACACATTTTGGAATTGAGAGAGAATTACATGAAGCGATCTGGTCTGAATTCTACTGCTCCGAATTTCATATGTTCATCAACTGGGAAATCTAAAAGTGGCAAAGGTTTATCTATATCCGTTTAAGTTATTTACACTATATTGAGAAAGTGTCTGCTATGTAAACTGAGCAACTATATTTAGAAAGATTCACCATTGCTATAGCATGGACATATCTTGATGTGGTATCCATCTTTTTATGATTCTTTTATTTTTTATGACTATCGTTTCTTTGAATTCTTGTTATTTTGTATTTGTTTGCAGGATACGA